CTTTCCAAATACTGTGTATTTCATGTCCAAATGTGGCTGCTTGCCATAGGTGATGAAGAACTGAGATCCATTGGTGTTTGGCCCGTTATTAGCCATAGATACAACACCTCTAACATTGTGCTTAAGATATTCACTATATTCATCCTCAAATTTCTTGCCCCAGATACTGTTACCTCCTCTTCCGGTACCTGTCGGATCTCCTGTTTGAACCATGAAACCTTTGATATTTCTATGAAATATACAGCCATTGTAGTAATTACTGGCACAAAGAGCCAAAAAATTCTCACAAGTTTTGGGTGTCCTCTCACAGAAAACTTCTATTTTAATATCACCTACATCTGTATGCAGTGTCACTGACATTTTTCTTCTTGATGGTTTCAGGAAGTACTACTGCTTAATTTCTCAGTCTTACCAAGAGAAGTTAGAAAACGTGTCTCTGGTACGCTTTTGACAGTGAAAGGGAGCTCTTTTAATAATTATACAAGGACACGAAACGTAAACCGGAACCATTCCGGGCAACCTCTAGCCGTACTTCAGGCTCAAGAGTCAGATTCTTAACTGACTGAGTCACCCAGGTGTCCCTCCATGTTCCCTTTAAAAAGCCCTCCCCCTCAGTGCACTCCCCTTTGTTCTCGCTGCCAAGGCCAGAATCTAGGCCCTTATCACCTCATACTGATCACGCCCAACACCTGATAGAAACACCTCGTAGGAGGCTAATGAGGTGATGAGTGGGCAGGAGCCCAAGGCGAGGCTGTGGCTGAGAACAGAGTGATGCTGGAGTGCAGACATCCCGTGAAAATTGGCCAATACAGAGGCCAAGTCAAGAGAATAACGTGAAAATCGTCAACTCCGAAAATCAAAGGCAAAACAAGATGGGGCAAGATAAAATTTGGCAGTATTGCTTCCTAGTTTATGCCCTTTTCTTCTGCATGAAGTTTTAAAGTTTAAAGTATTCTATTCTAGGGGCACCTGGGTGGCTCAGTCATTACGTGGCTACCTTCGGCTCGGGTCCTGGGATCGAGCCCCGCATCGGGCTCCCTGCTCGGCAGGAGGCCTGCTTCTCCCTCTCCCACTCCCCCTGCTTGTGTTCCCTCTCTCGCTGTCTCTCTCTGTCAAATAAATAAATAAAATATTAAAAAAGTAAAGTATTATATATATTTTTTGAAGATGTGATACATGGGCATGGTGCAAAATTCAGAAAATTCGAAGTGGTGAGTGGGAAAAGCTGTCCCCTGACCCCTCAGATCCTCTTCTCAGAGGTGACTACATTCTCTCTGCTTGTTTGTGCATCTTTCCAGAACTAATGCATTCTGATGCAATTTAAGGTTAAAAAAAAGCATCACTAGATAAATTGATCATACTTAAAAGATATAAATCCTGGGGTGCCTGGGTGGCTCAGATGATAAAGCCTCCAACTCTTGATTTCTGCTCAGGTCATGATCTCATGATCTCATGATCTCAGGGTCCTGGGATTGAGCCCTGAGTCAGATTCCCTGCTTAGCTCAGAGTCAGATTGAGGATTCTCTCCCACCCTGTCCCTCTGCCCTCCCCCAGCTCACAAGCACTTGCTTTCTCTCTCTCAAATAAATCTTAAATATATATACATATATACATATATATACACACACACATATAAATCCCTGTCAGATTGAGATGAGCCAAGGCCATGAGACTGGATTTTTCTGGCTCCCAGCTGTGGAAGGGGTTGATCAGCTTCATTATCTCTTGATCAAGATTGTCCTAAAGGCCCTTTTGATCTAAATTGGTTTTAAGGGCCCCAAACTGGCACGACTCAGGAAGGGTTGAGCCCCTGATATGTTCTGTTCGGCCGAATCTTTTTTTTTTAGTTTGAATTTTAAGATGGATCTTCAATTCTCTACATTTCCATAGAAGTCTAGAGATCCTGTTTCTTACAATGTACACATTTATATTACCTGCCTACTCCCTTTCAGTGTCTAAATTATGGCCATTTAACCAATGGTTCATCAACAAGAGAAATAATATGCCAGCATCAAAAGTGATGACAGATGCATGTTTAATAGCATAGGAACATAGATGTTTCTGATACATTTTTTTTGTTTTGTTTTGTTTTTAAGATTGTATGTATTTATTTGACAGAGAGAGAGATAGCAAGAGCAGGAACACAAGCAGGGGGAGTGGGAGAGGGAGAAGCAGGCTTCCCGCCGAGCAGGGAGCCCGATGCGGGGCTCGATCCCAGGACCCCGGGATCATGACCTGAGCTGAAGGTAGACGCTTAACGACTGAGCCACCCAGGCGCCCTATATTGTTAAAAAGTATATGATCCCGCGGCGCCTGGCTGACTCAGTCAGTAGAGCATATGTCTCTTGATCTCGGGGTCATGAGTTTGAGCCCCGCGTTGGGTGTAGAGCTCACTAAAAGAAAAAGGTAGGGGCACCTGGGTGGCTCAGATGGTTAAGCGTCTGCCTTTGGCTTAGGTCATGATCCCGGGGTCCTGGGATCGAGCCCCGCATCGGGCTCCTGCTAGGCAGGGAGCCTGCTTCTCCCTCTGCCTCTGCCTCTCTCTCTCTCTCTGACTCTCATGAATAAATAAATAAAACATTAAAAAAAAAAAGAAAAAGGTATATGATTCCACCTCTACTCACTTAACTAATTATGTGTATATATGGACACTGAAAAAAATCTGCAGAATTGATACCAAAGAGTTAACAACAGTTAGTAGGTAAGGCTTTGGAGTCTATTTTTATTTTATATGTACATTCCAATTTTCCTACAAGAAACCCACAGTACCTGTGTAATAGAGTATTATGAAAGTAGGACAGGAGCTTGTCTCCCTCCTTCTCTCCATGGGTCCTAGAGGTCTGTTTGGTTTTGCCAAACCGAAAATAAGGACTCTGTGACTTTTGAAAAAGAAAAAGCACGGGTGAGCTGATTTTTTTTTTTTTGGAAGTTGAGGCAAGTGTTCCTTCCCTTCACCCCCAAAACACCACCAGCAGGTGGCAGTCTGCTCCATGTGTTGAGCCAGTGGGCTGGATTCAGCCTGGGGTCCTGCACCTTGCAGTCCAGACACTGGAGGCCTTTGTCTGGGTCCCAAAATGGGACCCACAAGCCTGATGTGGCAAGCTGGCCCCTTGCTCTTCTTTTGTCTGTATTCCACAGGTCAGAGCCAACACTCTGGCCCTCTGAGGGTGAACGTCGTCTTGGGCCCACCTTTACCCCCTGAAGCAGCATCCCCCTCCCCCCACACACACCAGGAGACCAGAACATTCCAGAAGGGTCTCAGGGTGGCTGAAGCTTATTGAGTCACGCACTTACAGTAATTCCCCTTTATTTCTCACCCTCAACAAGGAGGTGGAAAGGCCTCTGCCCGGATACTGCTCTGCCCCTAATTTGGGTATAGTCAGTCTCAAACCTCTCTTCCTTCAGGGAGGCCTGTGCCAGTGGACAAGAGTCTCTGCGGGGTGCTTGAGCTGGTGGGGAAGGAGAAGGTCAACCCCGGAGATCCCTAAGGAACGGCCTCACTTGCCCGCCAACTTCCTCATGGCCTCTCCTTCGAAGCGAAAGGCATGCCAGCCCTCGCTTTCAGTCAGATCCTGGGCTCCCAGGGCCTTGTACAGGGCCATGGCCCTCTGGTTCCAGTCCAGGACGGCGAGGCGGAACTGGGAACAGCCCACATCCAGGGCCACCTGTGGGAGAAGACATCGCTGACTTTTCCTTCCAAAAAGGAAAAGGCTTTCTCACCCTGCATTTGACCCCTGCGCCTCCCCTACGCGCTTGCTTTTCCAGGGCCTAACTCATGGCCCAATCCCTCTCCTCACCTGAGCCACTTTTTTTATTATTTTCGAGCCAATCCCCTGACCTATTGTGGGGAAAAAGAGAGAAAACAAAAAGGGGGCGGGGGGAGGGGTTATTTCCGTGGAAGGGACTCAGAAGAGGCCATAAGGCTGGGGTTAGGGGGCAGGGGCTGGAGGTTGGGTCTGGGTGGCTTTCCTCCCGCCGTGGCCCCAGCCCAGTACCCCGATATTCCGGCGTCACGTAGATGTCTTCCAGATAAACGTTGCGCCCCTTCCACGTGCTGTAGATGAAGTAATACAGCCCATACCCCACCACACGGGGCCCTGAGATGGAGACAGAAGAGGGCACTGGGCGCCTGGGAGGGGCCTCTGAGAGCTCCGGGACCGGGACCCTCCGAGGCCCTGCTGGGCTTACCCTGCGGCTTCCCGGGGGCGGGAAGAAGCTCTGCCACCAAACAGTGATAGAAAGGGTTCCCTCCGAAGCCATCTGCTCTCAGGGCTGCGGAGATGGGGATTGTGGCAAAGAGACAGAGAAAGGGCCCGGGTGTGCACCCGCCCGGCCTGGAGCAAGGGCCTTAGGGACCCATCCCTCCCCCCGCCCCCCGACCCCCCGCCGCCGCCTGCTCCAGGACGCGGGTGCCGGGCCCCCACCTTCTTCGCTGATCTGCACCTGCTCCGAGAGTTTCTCGTACTCGGCCAGTTCCTACGGCAGCGGGGGACAGAGGCCAGATCAGGGCAGGGGACCCCTCCCGAGGCGGCCCCGACTCCCCGCCCGCCCCCCTCCCCCGGCCGCGCCGCCCGCACCCCCTCGGGGGGGCCCCGGTTCCTGGCCCGCAGGCGTCACCCGAATCAGCCTCAGGATATGTCCACAGTCTCCCTCCTCGGCCTCTCGGATCCGCACGGAAGCCATCTCGATCCCCGCCGCGTCTGGGACTGAAGTCCGGGCCCCTCCCCTCCCGTCCTGCAGGCAGGGGGCCTGCGAAAGGGCCTACGCACCCGGCCGGGACAGCCTGGGGGCGCCGCAGGCTGGGACCCGGGGGACTGGTGGGCGTGCGGGGGGTGCTCTCGGCGCCTCACCCTTGCACCCGCCGGGAGCCGGGGGAGTGCTCAGCGCCGGGGGCGCCGGGGGGATCCTCTCGGCGCCGCACCCCTACGCCGACCCGTGGCCCTGGGAGTGCTCAGCACCTGGGGCGGCGGGCGGGGGGATCCTCTCGGCGCCGCACCCCTGTACCCTCCCTGGACGCGTCCCGCCAGCCAATCAGCTGGCAGAACAGGCACGCCCGGAGGCCCTAGCCCTGCCCCCCATCGTTAGCCACGTGACTGGGCCCCCGGGCAGGGGTCAAGGCTGGACTGCCCGCTCCCTCGCTGTTGTCGCCCGGGTGTCCCAGCCTCTGTGGGTGAAACCCCGCAGTTCAAAAGTCACCTCCCCCGGCCTTCCCTAAGTGAAGTATGCAGTGATTTTCTGCTGTACTCTTCACTCTCGCTCACCCATCCAAGGGCCCCCGCGACCCTGGGTGAGTCCCAAGTCCCCCAGCTCCGAGAGCTATCTCCTAGGGTGTCTCCAGTGGCTCCAGGTGTCCCTTCTCTCGGCGCACTGGGATTTCAAAACGGGTCAGGGAGAGGGTGATGCATTTCTATTGGTAGATGGTGAAATCCCGAAATAAATGGAGAAGAGGAGATAATTCGGAGTGGGGGACGGGCCTTTTCTTAGAAGCCACTAAATCACACTCAGGGACAGAACCTCCCTCTGAGGCCAGCCTCAGAGGCCTGGGAAAACACTGAGGGAGGAGCTCAGAGCCAACACCGGGCACCGTGCCTGCTTATCTCAATGAGTCCTCCCTACAGCAACCCCATAAAGTAGGTACTATTTTTCACATTTTATGAACAAGGACACTAACAAGCACCATGAGTGGAATGACTTGACCAGACTCACCCAGCTGGATATTCAGTATCGCAGGTCTCAGCTGTAGTTCCTTCTTTTTTTTTTTAGGATTTATTTATTTATTTGAGAGAGGGAGCATGAGAGGGGTGGAGGAGCAGAGGGAGAGCGAGAAGCAGACTCCCCACTGAGCAGGTGGGGCTCGATCCCAGGACCCCGGGATCATGACCTGAGCCCAAGGCAGATGCTTAACCGACAGAGCCACCCAGGTGCCCCTCAGCTGTAGTTCTGACAGAGGATGCTCCTTGGGGTGCAGGGCAGGACTGTTCCTGGACCTCAGGCCCACAGAGGCAGCCTCCCCTGGTGGGCAGAAGGCTTCAAGGACCCAGGTCAGGCTCTAGAGGAGGAGCGGGGAAGTGGGGCATCCTGTCTGAGCTCATACACTTTCCCAGCAGGGGGAGTGTAGTGGAGGAACTCTGTCCCTCCCCCCGAGTTGTCCTCAGAGGGGTCAGAGGGGCCAGAGGGTCAGTGCCCGGGTCTCCTGCCCCCCTTCTTCCCCCCGGGGCAACCTTTAACCCAACACCAACTACAGAAAGGCTGCCTGCCCCCACACATTCTCCCCAGAGCTCTCTGAGCCACAGAGAGGACTGCAGCTGACCATGGAGGGCAGAGGCCCGCTGGTCACATCGCCACGATGGCTGTCACTGCTGTTGTTACTGCTTCCACCTCCCGGCGACCAGGGACAGGCCCCGAGACATGCCCTCTCCACCCAGGTGCGGCTGTTGGGATGGGGTGCTCAGCCCGCGTGCGGGACTAAGTGAGCTGCACTTGGCTCAGCTCCTGCCTTGTTCCCCGGCCCCCCGCCTCTCCGTCCATCCTCGCTCTACGTTGTTTGTTTTCTCTCCCGGACAGAGGGTCCAGGAACCCCCTGCTGTGCACCTCAGCAATGGCTCAGGACGAGAGCCCATCAGCATCATGACTTTTGACTTCACCAAGATCAGGAAGTATGAGGTTGACCTAGTCCCTTGACGGAGTCCCCGATCCTACCTTCCCTCCCTCGGATCTTCTCCCAGTCCTTCAGCCTCCCCTACCCCACTTTTACCCCCAGAGGGCGTGCCCCATACACGGTCTTTCCTTCTCTGTCCTTCCAGAAGCTCTTCTTCCTTTGAGCTTCGAACCTGGGATTCAGAGGGAGTGATTTTTTATGGCGATACCAACCCAAAGGATGACTGGTTTGTGCTAGGACTTCGAGATGGCAGGTCTGAGATCCAGCTGCACAATCAGCTGGCCCAGCTTACGGTGGGCGCGGGGCCCCGGCTGGACGATGGCAGGTGGCACCAGGTAAACCAGATCCGGTCCCAAGGGGAGGGGTGTCCCGAGCTAGTCCACAGAAGGGGAACAGAAAGGAGTTTTCAGGCATCCCTTTCCCACTGTCACCTTATTCAATCTGCACAAAACCTCCATGGAGTTGCTATGCTTGTCCCCGGTTTTCCGGATGGGATTTCTGAGGCTCACGGCCCGAGTGAGCCAAGGATGCTAGCTGACTCCACGAGTCCATGTTCTTTCTGTTATACTTGACTGCTCCTGAAGAAGAAAGTGGTGGAGGCAGACCCCAGGGGTTCTGATTGGGCTCCGCTCCTTCCTCCCTGCAGGTGGAAGTGAAGATCCTTGACGATTCGCTGCTACTGAGTGTGGACGGGGAGGAGGTGCTGCGCCTGAGACAGGTCTCTGGGCCCCTGGCCAGCAAACCCCAGCCCATCGTCAGAATTGCACTGGGGGGACTCCTGTTCCCAGTCTCCAGCCTCCATTTGCCGGTAACTGCATCACAGGGCTGGGGACCAACCAAAGCTGTTGAAGTGTGGCTGGCTGGGGGACCGTGGGGGTCAAGGCCACACTTTGAGCAAGAGAGTGAGAGAGCGAGAGAGAGAGAGAGAGAGAGAGAGAGAGAGCGCTACATGGGAGAGGCCAAGTGCTTGTGACTCACAGCGGAGTAAACTGAGGGCGGGGAGGGGCTCTGATGTCTTGAAGGCCACATGCCGTGTCTTCCCTTTCCTCCACCGGCTCCAGCTGGTCCCTGCCTTGGATGGCTGCCTGCGCCGGGGTAACTGGCTGGACCCACAGGCCCAGACCTCAGGATCTGCTCCTACTAGCAGCCTCAGAAGCTGTGCCGTCGAGTCCCAACCTGGGACGTTCTTCCCGCCAGGGACTCGTGCAGAATTCAATCTCCAAGGTAAAGGCTGTTTTTCCCTGCACGGCCAGCTCTGTGTCTGCCTTCCCCATCTCCCTCGCAGCACTCGCTGCCTCCCTCCATGAGTCCCCAGCCTTGAGTCCTCAGGGGGATCACTTCTCCCCCCTCCCCCAGACATTCCCCAGCCTCATGCCGAGCCCTGGGCCTTTTCTCTGGACCTGGGACTCCAGCTGGCAGCAGGCTCTGGCCACCTCCTTGCCCTTGGGACCCCAGAAAACCCTTCTCGGCTCAGCCTCCACCTCCAAGATCAAGTAAGAGTGGGCGCTGCCTGTATTCAGTGGAGCCTGGGAGCAGGGGGGGCCTCCAAGTTGTCAATGTTAGGAAAGCTTAAGGTGGGGGGGCGGGCAGAGACACATCCTGAAGTTGCCTACAGCAAGCAAATGATATTTTATTTCTTTATTTCTTTATTTATTAGATTTTATTTTTAAGGACTCTCTACACCCAACATGGGGCTCCAACTCACAACCCCGAGATCGAGTCGCATGCTCTGTGAAGTCAGCCAGCCAGGCACCCCTACAAATGGCTTTTATCTAGATTGTATTGACTTGGGAGAGGTGTGGTTTTATGGACTATCAAGCCAGGGAAATCGAGGCAGCATTTAGGTGATTGAAATGGTCGGCAGACAGAAGGTAGAGCACAGAGGCCTCACTGAGGCAGAAAGGGATGGGGCCCCAGGGAGTTGATGCAGTTCATTCTTTCCATGCGCACCCCCTCAATCCCTTTTCTGCACACTCTGCAGAAGGTGGTGCTGTCCTCTGGGTTGGGGCCAGAGCTGGATCTGCCCCTGGTCTTAGGACTCCCTCTTCAGCTGAAGCTGGCTGCATCCGGGGTGGTCTTGAGCCAGGGGTCTAAGAAGCAGATCCTTGCTCTACCTGCCTTGGACTTGGACCTTGCCTCCCTCCTCAAGCTCTGGGTCCAGCCGCAGGGGCGCCTCTTCCTGGGGGCTCTGCCAGGTAAGACGGGGACTTTCGTGTTCCTCAGCACACCACTGGAAACAGCTAGAGGGAAAGGAAAAGACAGGCAAGCGTGTGGTTTTAGGGGAAGGAAACTTCTGGAAAGGGAGAAGAGAGGCCACAAGAAGAGAAGGGATAAAGGGCAGTGGGGGGAAGTGCTTTAAAAAAAACTTGAGGCAGAGAGCTGGGAAAGTGGGGGGCAGCCTGTGGGTCCAAGCTGCCCTAAGGCCCCCTCCGTGCCCCCTCCCTCTAGGAGAGGCCTCTTCTGCCTCCTTTTGCTTGGATGGCCTTTGGGCACAAGGCCAGAAGCTGGACATGGACCGGGCCCTGAGCAGAAGTCAGGACATCTGGACTCACAGCTGTCCCCAGGGCCCAAACAATAGCCCCGGCACCACCCATTAAATCCCCACCTAAGAATCCCCTTGAATGTCGCTCATTCATTTAGTCAACAAGTATTCACTGGGCGTCTGCAATGTACCAGGCTCCCTGCTGAGCAGTGGGTTGTCCTGATGAGTAAAAGCGACCCAGGTTCCTGGCCTCTGAGCGCTCACGGTTCCCCGGGGGGAGGCAGGCATCCAGCAAAGACCCACAAGTAAGCGGATGATTGGAAACCCAATAAGCGCCATAAAGGAAGGTCAGCTTTCTTGTGCCGAGGCTGGTCCTGAGAGGTCCAGAGGGGAGGGAAGCAATGGAATTCTCTGGTCCCTGAGATGGGCCACTGCTGTGCAAGGAGGAAGCAGCAGGGGGTGTGAGAGAGCCGTGGAGACAGCGGGGCAGGGGTTCTGGGAAAAGGGGTGGAAACAGCCGGGAGAGAGAAAAAAGGAGTGGAG